AAAAAAATTGTTGGTTCATGGTTCGATTCAATTCTCTTGGAACTAAAACAACATGGAACCATGTCCACTTCTAGTTGAAAATGAAATTTGAAAAAATAGGGCTCAAACAGGGGCTAAGCATTTGTTCGATCCCCATTATCTTCAAAACACATTTTTCATTTTCTTATTTTCAACCATACTTTTTTAATAAAATAATATTACATGCAAATTTAAAATTTTTCTTATTTTTTAATCACATATTTTTCATTAGTCTACTATTTCAAAAATGCATTCATCAATAAAAATGAGATCCAAACATCTTCTAAAATTTATAAATTAATTAAATAAGTAATCATCGACTTTTACATTTGATTATTTTTAAACAACGTCACCAAATCATTATCCATGGAAATTATTTTTGCTTACTTCACTTTTATTATTTCTTCTACATCTGTTTATATGATTGTCTTGATTCTTATTCAATGAAATTCGCATAAAATCACCTAATTAATCGTGACTGTGACTGTTTTTCTTTCCCTTTATTTTGCTGAAAGCTTTCCCTTTTCTTCACGTACACAAAAGGCCAAAAAATCGCATAAATTGAAATCAATATAAGCATACGGTAAACCAAACCCCATGTCCGAAATCAAAATCGGCGTGTGCATCGTGTGCGACTTATCTTGTACCTGGCTTGTGGTCAGCACAGCAATTTTATCTACTTTCCCTTCTCTCTAGAAAAATACCCTCTTTTATTCCTTTCCTTCCCAACTAATTTCCTATTGTCTCACCTACTCCATTTTTCATTTCATTTTATTTTTCTCCTCTCTCAAGATCTCAAATTGCTCAAGGTTTTGGATCATATCTCCCTTTTTTGTTCAACCCTGCATAATTCCCAAGGTAGGGACTTATCTTATTCTCGACCCCTTTATATATGTGTATGTATTAATCAAATGTTTGAGTTTTTCTCATTTTTTTTGGGTTTTGTTTGTTGATGATTGTTCTGATGATGTTGTGGAAAGACTTGTGATTTGTGCTGCAGAATAAAAGTCTTGAATTCTAATTCTTTTAAGGGTCAACTCGGAAAAAATCTGCCTTTTTACTTATTTTCAATTTTTCTTTGTAGTTGGGACTCTTGATATGGGTCTATTCATATTAAGATGTATGCAATTTCTGTTTATATATGTCTTTTTATATTGAATTTTCACCCGTAGTTCAATGGAAATTAGAAAGGAAAAGGAAATGTAAATGGGGTTTTTGGGCTATGATTTGGCACCTGAACCAGGAAATTAATATAGCCAATGTGGGATTAAAGAAATTGTCGAGAAATTAGGTTAAGCATGTAAGTTTGGTGAAAATTACTGGATTTCTCCAAGTCAAAGGGGTTTTGTTATTTCAGCAGTGTTTCTTATTCAGGTGGCTTCTAGGAGCTTTTGAATCTCCATCGATGTATATGGATTTCCTGTTGCTACACTTCTTGCTAGTAATTAAAAATGAGTCAGCAGCGTAATATGATTTGCATGTTTTTTATCAATCTATATGGCTTTACTTTTCGAATTTTCAAGAAGTTAATTCCAGTTTTCATCATGTGGTTATATAAATATCTTCGTTTCTGTTGAATTTTGGAGATATTAGTTCTCTAGTTATTTTAAGAATGCAAATACCTAGGATTGAAATTATTCTTTTTGTTCTTCAGCTTTGGTGCTTATCTTTTTCAAATTTCTGGTCCAATTAGTGTTCGGAAAAATATATGATAAAAGTTATTCTCACAATTTTAAAGCATCTTACTTGTAGTATATGAAGGATTTTATCTCCATTTTGAGGCATACAATATCTGTATTTTTCTCAATATTTTGTCTCCATTTAGTTTCTCTTCAATCTCGTTTATCCAAGGAAATTGTTAAATTTGGGCTATAGTTTTATTTGGCTTTAATACGTGTTCATTTATATCTGTTTATGTCTTTCATATTGCTAGTTTTGACAGGATCTATTTCTTAGCTTTTTTTCTTTTAATTAAAGTCCCGTGTCACAAACTGTTGTTTAAAATGTGTCATTCTTGTGCAGGTTTTTATACGAGAATGGAGTTTTTCTTGAGGGACTTGAAAGAGGAATCTTCTCCGTTAGATCAGGGCATTGTTAGGTGTCCCTTTTTGCGGAACATCAATGAACCCACCAACTTCTCCTTTTCAACACCAATGGCTTTTCCAATGCCAGTAAGTTGTATATTTGTTTGCATATCCTATGTGTGGCTTGTTTGGTAGAGTGAATTCTTTAATGTTGGACATGGTTAACAATGAAAAAAGTCCAATCCTGTTCTGATTAGGCTTGCTGATTTTCAAAACATGTTACACTGATAAGCTCCCTTGTGGAATTTTGTCTTGCTCGTGTCAGATTCAAGACAGGAAAGGTCCAATATTTGAGGATGGCCCCAATTTTGATATGGCATTCAGACTTTTTCATGGGCAAAATGGTGTAGTCCCTCTGACTGGAAAATCATTTGTCGATATCGAGAAGTCTCGTTCTGAACCAGCACCAGCACACTTCAATCCCTTGGCAGCAAAGGCAGCCTCTATCAGTCTCTCATCGTTTGGTCCTGGGGGGCCTTTTGGGTTTGATGCATTTTCTGAGAAGTGGAAGAATAAAAATAAGAAATCCAAATCGTCCAAAAAGGAGTCTTCTTCAGAGGTAATTGACAACTTCTGTTTCAAGTAACTAGTCCGAAACTTAATTCGTGACTAAAGAATTAGTTCCTGCTTTATCGGTAACATATCTAATTCCCAAGTTTCTGGAGTTCACTGGTAAACTCTATACGGTTTTGTAGAAAAGTTCATAACTGTATCATACTATGGCGTACAAACTACTGATGCTGATGGTTATACAAAATATTATTCTATTCTTTCAGGGTAGAAAATCAGAGCACGAGGCAATGAGCGATGAGTGGTTGCAAAGTGGCAATTGCCCGATTGCAAAGTCATATCGAGCTGTGAGTCACGTCCTTCCTCTTGTAGCTAAGGCTCTTCAGCCTCCTCCCGGCATGAAATTTAGGTGCCCTCCAGCAATAGTTGCAGCTAGGAGTGCTATATCAAAAACTGCTTTTGCCAAAAACCTTCGACCGCAGCCGCTGCCTGCAAAGGTATTCGTCATTGGCGTTTTAGGCATGGCAGCGAATATACCTTTAGGAATATGGCGAGAACACACTGAAAAATTCTCTCCCTCTTGGTTTGCTGCCGTCCATGCAGCCGTGCCATTCATAGGTATGCTTAGGAAATCCGTGTTAATGCCTAAGACGGCCATGGCATTTACCATTGCAGCGTCAATTCTAGGACAGGTTATCGGTTCTAGGGCAGAAAGGTATCGGCTGAAGACTGTTGCTGGCAAAAAACTGGTTTATACCGAAACTTCAAGCTGTGGGACGAGTCCACTGGCCGTGGGTGGAGTTAGAGACGGCCATTGCATCGAGATTGTTGATTGGAAAACTAATCCTCTGCAGGTTACCGGGACTTCATCATCAGCAGACGTCTTCTGATTATGGTTGGTTTGTTTGATCTCGTTTTCTGCTGTGTAACCTGGACGGAAACTTCATGTTCTACCGATTTACTTTTCTTCTTTTGGACCTAAATTTTCTGCGATTTGAGAATAAGAGAGGGATGAAATATTTCTTGCGTGTTGTAATTTATACTACTATATGGTTTACAAAAAAATTATGAAATGAGAATTTGGACGAGAAATGTTGAATGATTTCTGGTTATTGTCTTATTGAGGTATCGGATCGGGGCTATTTTTTTATGCACGAGTTCTTGCGATATTTGTAAGTATTGATATTTTACCTGCACGATGACTTTTTAAAGAATTAAATCAAATACGTCCTTTTTGAAAACCACTTTTTTTGAACTAATTTTTAATTGCACAATCTTTCAATTAAATAATTTTATACGTGGATTTATAATTTTTTTAACCTTACATTTTCTAGAAAATCGATTGTCACTTCAAATAATCACTTATGAACAAGCACTTAGAACGTAAACGAATCACTTCAAAATGGCTTTCTAAAGTCTCTCTTCTTCTTTTCTGTATAATATTTGGAGTTAAAGTTCAATCTTTAGAGAAAAAATTAAAAGAGTTCGTTTGGCATGGCTTTTGAAAAGTCAAAAGGAGCTTTTAAGGTTCAGAAGCTATTTTTGGACCCATTTAGCTAATTTTGTTAAAGTTTTTTGTTGATTAGAAGAGTTTTTAGAAGAAATTGGTTAAACATGACTTCCTCTAAAAATATTTCCGGAATGAAAAATACTTTTAAATATTAGTTTTTAAACAAAAATTAAAATAGCTTTCTTCAAAAACTCTTCTACAAGAAGTAAAAGTAAACGCAAGAACTATGTCAAACGGGCCCTAAATAACATTTATTTGGAAAAGGAAATGGTTCACATGGATCTAGTCGATTTGATCCAGAAATTTTATTGAATTTGGAGTGGGCCTATTATGAAGAATGGTTCCAGCCCAGCCCACAACTCTACCCATACCATTGTTTTGGAGGAAATGGTGGGCAATGGCTGCCCCACCCGGTATGTTTATCAAAATAGCCTTTGACCAAGTTTTTTTAAAAAAAAAAAAAAAAAAGGGAAAATGTTATTATTTGTGTAGGGTCGAAAATACCCCCATCAAGGAAAGAAGAGAAAAAAAAAAGAAAAAATCAGCCCGGACCGTCGACGTCGCCTACGGACTGCCCGGATCTCACCAACTTTGACCAAAACCAGAGCCACCTCGATTCGTCGGAGACCGTCATTTTCTGGAAGGTTAGACATGCTTTCTATAAATAACTACTTCGAATTTGTGAAAGTTTGAATGTTTAGGATATGAATATGGGTTAAATTCATGTTTTTATAGTTAAAATGTAAGAAAATATCGAATTTGAGATTAAAATGTTGAAAAAAAGTGAAAAAAAGGGGACGAAGCTCACCGGAAATGGAGTTTCTGACGGCTCCGTCGGTTGATGGTCCGTAACGGACCACATGGTCGGCTACGGCCCATGGGCCGTAGCGGACCATGTGGTCCATTTACGGCTGCCGAACCAGGATGGTCCGAGTTCGGACTGGTCAGGACCATCTCGGATTTTGGTCCGAGTTGGCTATCCAGCTCAAATCCGAGTTGGGTCAAAAATAATTTTTTTTTTTCAGAATTATTGTTTTATTTTTGTGTTAAGAAATAAAATGAAATATAAAATAAATTAT